TGTTGTGGCTTGATAGGGCCCTTATAAGGGCACCTTCCTTGGAAAAGGCATTATGCAGCGCCTGCTCAGGGTCGCGGAATTCCGTCCTGCCAGGCGTATTAATCCTACTCGTCTTGGGGATTTATCGTGCCAACTGCCTTTAAGCGAAAGTGCGCGAGAAAAGCTGGTGAGTTATGGCAGCCGGATGCTTTTTCATACCTCACACGCTATACACAAAGTGTGAGATGTGCGTCCATGCCGAGGTCCCGCAGCAGAGAACATAAACGGCAAACTGCCTATCGTGACCAGGGGTAGAGAACAACAAAATGAAAGCGCCTAGACAGAGAGTCTCTTTGGGGCGAAACATGTTTGTCGTTCTTACGGTGAGATATACCGCTTGCGGTTTGAAGGCGAAGTGACCTATCGGGAGACTTGCACGGCAGCCCCTGTTTCTGTTTTGCCTGGTCATTTGTCACGTTGGCTGCCCGTGGGTGTCCGAAAAAGCATTTGGTTACCACTGCCTTTCAGCCTGCTTTTGGTGGCCTTCCACAGCTGCAGAGCCGCTCACCTCGCACAACGCAAGGATCAGAGTCGTCGGAGGTGAAAGTACAGCGTATCGTCAATTAATTTAGTGACTGGCCTGAGAATGTTCTTGGGAATCGCGTTGCTCTCATGATTCGATTCAATTTTGCAGTCAATGATCGACAACCGAAAAACCAAGGAGACCTCAGTGCACTTGAAATCACCAAGCGCGAGTACGTCATGGACAGTAACTGTTGCCTTGAACTACAAAGACTGCACTCCTGATAAATACCAAGTAACTCGTTGGAGTAACTGAAAATTAATATGTCACGCAGATCGCCCTTTCGTTTCAGAATCTGCCCAGTAAATTCGACGTTCAGCTGACAGCAACAGACATTTTTTACGTCGCGATTAGTTCAAATGGAGTTTATCAAGGCAAGGCGGATCCAGCAAAGCCCACACAAGGAACCGGAGAATTTAGCTTAGGGTAAGTACATGAATTTGACAATCTTGTTCTTTGTGAGCTGAATTGACATGATCATAACGCGAGTAAGTGGGAGCAAAGCTTAGGTTGCACTCTATATTTTCCGGAACACGTTGGCTGTACTTGGGTGCATTTTCTCTTGGTTATTTACACAGCAAAGTACTTACCACCATGACCCATAACATATCGCCGGCATAGGAAGTTGTTCAAAGCCTCTCTCGTGGACCAGTAGAGGCTTTTATCGGAAAAAAATACTGGGTTTTGGCTCCAAGACCTTATTCATTAGCATAAGGTTTCTTCTATAGAAAGGTAACATAGAGAGTGGATTAGGTGATACTACTACTCCTTATACTGATAGTGATACTCTACTCCTTCCTACTGGAGCTTAATTGGATTTATAACAACTGATCATTCGAAACGCTTTGCTTTCTTTCTGGAATTATGTCGAAGTGGGCGTCACCAGGAAGACAGAGTTAACGTTTACTGTCTTTTTCAACCGCATGGCCCGCAGCATCGGTTGGTCCTAGTTCGAACTCTGTGCTTTTCTCAAGAGCATCGTCAATAGAAAATGTGAAGTGTCCCGGAAGTTACGGGACAACTCGATCGCTTTCAAAGTACCACTGTTCTGCCTTCTGTGGTTGATATGCAGAAGTTCCAATTTCTGTTGCATAAGGCATGGCTACAGCTCACTGAGCATGTGAAGGGCAAACCTTCGCCTCGAACGCTGCGAATATTTTTTCCGACTTTTTCCTGTTTTTGTTCTTCTTTATCTACACTAGAAATGCTTGAGATGCGGTAGGCGTGGCTGCGTACCTCAACTAAAAGCGGCGGTGGCTGTGCTTTTAGTGGTCATGTTTCTGTCTAACATCGAACAAGATGACAATTGTCTCAAACTGAAATTATTAAGGGTGACCTTTCTCATGACATGTCCAAGTGCCACGCCTACTTCGTTTCGGGGATAAGGAGTGTACGTCAACGGTCTACAAGAGTCGTTAGAAAAGCAATCACAGAACTGTAGTTGCTATCGTTTACTAATCACAATAGTTTGCTTTCAGAATTGTGACCGCCACCACTCCAGGATACAACGGAAATCTTGTGATGTGTCGAATGGATGCCGGGGACTTCGACCCACTCCACCCCTGTAATCCACGAAGTCCATCAGACTTCTACTACTGGGAAACAAATTACAATGACGGGACTGACGATCGTGATTCGAATGCCACATTCTTTACTAACCAAGGAAAATCAGATAAATACGCAGTGATGTACGTATACAAGCCCGTAAAGCCAGGAAGGTAAATTCTTTAGTTTCTTGTTGCTTCTTCGTCTGTTATGGGGACTGACTTCGGACCCATTTCCTTTACCAATAAATTAACAGCTTACGATAGTAATGTTTCACCAATACCTTCTCTCTCATCAGAGGAAGCCACCAAACATGAAGTGCTGATGTAGCCGGATCTTGCTTGGGAACAGCGGAAAGCGAACGATACTCAAATTTCCCATTTGACTTGAGTGCCAGTAAAGCTGTTTCTTTGTGAAGCGTCGAAAAGTGGAACTGTGAGAGGGCACTATGAACTCAGCAACTGAAATACTGTTTGATTACTTCTGTTTGTTACCTGTTTTCTTCCTTCTTTATGTTATTCCCAAGCAGCGGGGAGAAATGGCTTATTTCTTAGCCGTGTATTCACCACTGTGCCATCTTCAAAATTTCCGTAAAAAAGCTATTCACAAGACAAATTGATCAACATCTAATCTTACCATAGCTGGACCCCGTGTTGAACCATTATTCATGGAATCTACGTGTTCCACCACACTTCTTCTCCATAGCGCTAGTCCCGCGCTGTCGCAGGGCCTCTGGTTTTTTTAGGCGGTCTCTCGTTCTGATCCACTGCATGGTCTCCCGTGGCATTCACTTTAGTGAGGTCATTCCTGATGCCATCCCTCATCGCTTCTTTGAGGCTACTAGTGGTTTTCACGTGCATATTTCATCGCAGTCGCTGCTCTCGTGCCTTCAGCTGGATAGGAGCCGTCTGTGTGACCGCCCTGACGTCCTCGTTTCTGACTCTGTCGAGTCGTGTCCAGCCGCAGGCCCATCTCAGCATCCTCATTTCAGCTGAGTGGAGCTGCATTACATGGTTTTATGTGGGCACCATTCGCTGCCATGGAGCATCGCAGGCCTTGGGTGATCTTGGTGGTCACGCCTTGAATAGAAATTGACGCCCGCTTGGCGCGAAAACGCCTGTGGAGGGCGTCACGTGCACTTGTACACACCGATCTTCTTTCGGATTATGTGGCGCCCAAGTGTAGCAGTATCTGCTCGCGAACTCCTACGCTATTTGGATGAGCACAGATGCATCAGCGGTTCACGACTCTTTTTACCATGTTACTGCGAGAAGCCGAATACTAATTGTAAGCTTAGCAAAGATTCAATCCGAGCTGATGCTCGTGAGAAGAGGAGAAAGAAAAGTGCATAACTCCGTTCATAGGCAGGCTTCGTGGATTTGAAAGCAGATTTGAAATCAGCGCTTACAAGCGCGTTCGGTAGCATAGATATCATCGCAGGTGATTACTTCGGCCTGAGGACCTTCCCTTGTAAGAGACATTAGGCATTTAGCTTCCATTCACATTCCTGAGGGTTTTCGGATGCGTATTGGGCCATGCAAGTGATGTTAAAGGGGGTGATGTACAAGTCAGTGGTTTCACCTTATCCAATGGAGCCGTCAATAGAAAGGGGTCGAAGGCTCGTCACCTAACTAGGACCCGAAAAAGAGTTCGACCTGCAAACCTCTTCCCTTTATCACGGTGCCTCCGCATTTTCGAGCGTTTTATGCTGGTACCATTTACGTTTCAAAAGCGCATTTTTCATCTCAAAATTACTAGCAGGCTCTAAGGGCAGACCGGTACTTTCTCAAAGGGCCGCTCATCTTTCTCTTCTGAAAACTTCATATCAATGAACTCGAATGCTCAATTGACTTATAGATGGCAACTCTATTACCTTGACGGTACTCCGAAAAATGTCGGCTCCAAAACTCCAGCAAAAACCAACATCACTGTCACGGCTACGGGAGTCTGGATGGAAGTTCACGAACAAGGAGCCGTCTATGTTTTGGCATTAACCGGCTCGAAGGTAAATTATATTCTGTGGTTTCATTTTCATTCTAAGAAATCACAGATGTTTCAAGAAGGCTTCTAACGATGTTTAGGACCAACCAGTGAAACACATTAATCAAGTGGTACAATCCAACTCAGTGTCTATCCTCTGGCAAATTCCTCAAATAGTTATAATCACTGCGGCAGAGATTCTTTTCTCTATTACCGGTTATGAATTCGCTTATTCGCAAGTCAGTTCGTGTTTTTTTTCTCATTCCTTCATGAACACTTCTTTCGGAAGTTGTAACAGATACCCATAGTGGTCAGTTGCGAATGCAAAGGGTGGCAATGTCCGTCTCCCCACGTGGTGCCACTGGAAATTGCTCGCATTTGTGGCTAAACTGAACACGGACACTGGACACAGGCCTTCGTGGCGGGCCGGCCTATGAACACCAGTGTCACATCACAATGTTTAACAGTGCCATGTAATTTCCGAAATAATGCTACGGCGTCCGTGGGAGTCGGCGCGCACTCGCACGGCCCGGCGAGTATAAAAAGTATGTGCGGGTGGCGGTGCAAGGACGGCATCGGGGCAGTCTCAAAGTCTGGCAACGTTTGGAAGGCTCGCGTTGTCACACTGAACGTTGGGACGCTGACCGGACGTTCGCATGAGTTGCCATACCTACTCTACAACAATCCTACATTATCTTAGCGCACACCGCTCCTAGCTAAAAGTGCTCATCCGGATAATGGTATAGCAGTGACCACTGGCTTAGTTCACTGTAAATGACCTCAATGATGGCCGAGGTCACATGTGAATTTTGCCCAAAAAGGTCTGATATATACCTGCACGACAGCCAGCGCCCGCTTGTGGTGAAGATAGCATCCAAAAAGTTCCTGACCTTGGTCTCTGACCCGTGCTTAGCTTACTCACCTACCTAGTAGGAAAGGATGGTTGTCGAAGTAGCCATTTGTAATGAGATGTATACCGACTAACTCGTCGTTGGACAGTGATTTCAAAACTGCTTTCCAAATCAGCTAAACGATTCTACGAACGGAATTAGGTTTATTGAGCTGACAGTGCTCAAGACCACCAATGTACAACAAGTATGTGAATGATGGGTTAGATGGTATGTGCACAGATGGCGTAATGGATAGGACTGCCGGCCTCATAAGCGTAAGGTCATAGGGTTCGGAACCTTCGTTTTGCATTTTTCACAAACGCTGTCTGCGCGTCCCCCAAAGCACTTTTGCGTGGCTAGGGGACCTGATCTTATCAAAAAAATGATGTTTCTGAAGGAGTGGAGACACTTGGAGCAGTCCTGGAAGATACTTCTGATCACTTGTTTGGCGGGATCATTCGTTGCGTTATGCTGTGCGCCGAACTGAGTTGTCTGCAAATTTGCCCCCATGACTAATTTGAGCCCCCAAAACACGAATATCGCACTCATTCTGCGCAAAAACGTATGCCTTGTGGCTACCACACTCTGTCCCTTTTGATTTATTTATTTATTTATTTATTTATTATATGCACTCCTAGGTGCGCTACATTCCTTGATACCATAATCAGGTCGGGACTAAAAGAAGAACGAAAAGAAAAGAAAAAGAATACAAAAAACACCACAGAAACGTAACACAACTCAAGAGAACACAACACAAATGAGCTCAAATGGCACAGAACGGACACAAAATGTCAGCGGAGTAGTAGAATAAGTATAACTACTACCTACAAAGTTCATCATAGGTAAGGAATTGTCCAGTCGAGTATGTAGTAGAAAACAAAGAAAAGAAGAAGCCGCCCGTCTCATCCCCTCGAGCTGTAGTGTGTATACGTGAAATCAACACGAGTAATGTGAAAAAATTTTTTTCAACAGGCGGATGGCGCTAGGGAAACGCCACTCTCGGACGAGCAAAAGGTAAAAAATATGGAATCAGAGACTGGATTTTCAGAACTTAGGTATGGATTTTCAGAAGTTAGGTATTCCCTATCCCTAACAATCCAGCCTCTGACCCGCCATCTATTAGGTCCATTATTGAACTATCTCCTCAAGTGATAAGCTCAGGGCGAAACTATTAGAATACTTCGTTGCCTCCCAACTGGAGAATTCACTACCTAACTAGCAAAATTTCGGTGTTAACAATGAGCAGAACATAGTCCCGGAATACAGAAGTAGGTCCCAGAGTAGTCCAGATCGACTGATAGGAGCTCGGAGAGTATGGCAAAACAAAATTCCACTACTATCTTGCTACCGTACATCCTCAACTTTCAGAATTCTGAAAATATCAGATTTCAAACGTGCTTTGAACTCCTTCGAATTACTACAGGAAAGCATATCATGGGGTAGCATGCGCAACCACCTGGCCGCTCGGAAAAAGAAAGAATGAAACGCAGCATTAAAACGGGCAGCGGGCGGACCTAACGACACACTTGGCGAAAAAACGGGCAAAAAGGGCTGTTTTGGACGAGTTTTCTGGCCGGGCGGACCTAACGACACACCCAGGGCTAAAATGCCGTAAAATGGCTCTTTCGGCGAAGTTGTCGAAAAGAGCCACTTCGGGCGAAAATTCTAAGATTCCTGCTTTTCACGTTTTTTTGACGTCAAAGTCGCTCAAATAATTGAGTGTTAATTTGCAGTGAACAAGACCACCTCTTTCAGATTTGATCGAATATGGGGTTTTCTTGCGCCGCGATACATGTTGTGAATGGGTGTGATCAGGTCGAAAAAACTTGCATAACTTTGCTCAGGGAATCCTTTAGCAGATTTGGAAGGCAGATTCGATATCAGTTGCCAAAGATGCTTCAGTCGGTGTACATTTCAGTCAAATGGCCACCTCGATCAACCATCCTTTCCTAGTTAGCAACTTCTGACTTCCACCCCCTTACGGCACTATCGCATCACGCGGAAAATGAGAAAAGTGGTAAGTGACGTCAGCTCGAGAATGAGATCAAGATCTTCTTCTCCTCGAAGTCGCCGGAAGTCTGGGAGAACAATAACGAGAAGCTGCCCGACAGATGGACTTTTGTTTTAGGTACCTTGGTAACTTTCTTGTTAACGAGAGTACTCAAAATGAATTCACCCTCCACGTGTTGCGATTCTTATTTCAATCATAATAGTTTCACTTACAGTTTAAGCCCACGTTCAGAGTCTTGGCTCAAAACGCGGATTATTGAGTTCAGGGCGTGGCCCGAATCACTGCAAGTCGCCAGTCAAGAGCCGTAGTCGAAGCGGCACTCCATGTTTACCACGTACACTCCGTAACTTGCGGGTGGGGAGGGCGTTGCTTAGCACTTCATCTGCATACCGCGTAGGATGCTTTTCCCGTGGGACCTTTCTGTTTGAGAAAATTGCAATTATGTCTTGTGCTGGACAAAGAAATGATTACAATTGTCCAAAAACGACATATCCCACCCAGAACGCAGTGGTCGTTTTGTTAGGACGGGAGCCACGGTCCTCCTTATCTCCGGCATATGGATCATAGGTCGGTGCAGGTGTTCTTTGTGACTAACAGTAATTTTTTGAGAAACAGTAGTCCACAACGCCTTTCGGTTTTCTCTTCCCAAGGCTCTTTCTTTTTTTTCTTGTGATCAGTATCAACAACGACTGGATCCATCTTTAGTGGCAAGGCGGTGTTCACGCTCTGTATGATTTCAGTCTGCACCTTCGATGAAAGCTTTGGTTCAAGCACTGTGGTTACTCACAACTGCCGTTGGCGACTCTATTATCGTGCTCATCACAGCACTTGATTTGTTCTCAAATATGGCGACGGAATTCTTTGCATACGCTGGTACGTCTTGAGCACTGTAATTTTATCCTTGTTTGTTCTCTACTAATTTTATTCCACATGCCTTCGAGCACAGATGAAATAACGGAGTGTGAAAGAAAGCATAGTACACTCCTTATCCCTGAGCCAGAGTAGGCGTGGCATTTGAACATGGCACGGAACTGGTTACTCGTGGAATATTCCAGTCTGGGACAACTGTCATCTCTGTGTTGGACAGAGACACGACAACAATTGTGTCAAGATGAAAATATCTCACCAGAAGCATAGACACCTTCAGGTTAAGTTGAAGCATGCAGCCACGCCTACCCGATCTCAGGGATTTCGAGTATATGTAGGTTTCAAGCTGTGGCACCACCATACCAGCACGCGATAAACCTGCTGCAGCGCGCGCCGATTACACTCATTTATTTAAAGGCACTGTTAATCAAATGAATGGTGTTTCTGTATATGGCGCCAATTGCATGAATCATGTGCAGACAGGGTGCAGCATCGTGCTGTGTGAAATGGTGGTGTAGGTTCAACCCCCCTCCCCTTTCTCGAGAGAGGGTGTCAGTACGACCCCCCCCCCATCTAAATGAGAGTTCGGTACGACCCCTCCCCCTTCCCAAAACCTACCTACCAATTCCCTACATATTCCAGTTTTTCCACCCAAAAGATTTCCATCGAGGGAGGGGGGGAGGTATATAGTACACACGAGACAGGAAAAAATCACGGGAAGTCAACAACCGGGAGTAGGAAAAACAGTCAGGAACGTTCCCAATAAGACCCGCCGCACCCCTGACATTGTATACTGCCGACACTCGGACTTTTCCGATCCGCCTCTCATGCTTTCATCTTTGTAAATCTGTTCTTTTATGGACAGCTGTACGCTCAGAGATGGGGAACGGGCGGTGAAAATAAGTACAGTGGCGACACCATAAATCAATAGACAAATGAAAGACGGTGAATGCTCGAACTTTCCTGAACCGTAAAGGCACACACTCAAACAGAGAGCGGTTTCTGGAAGCTAACCTTTCCAATCTCTGCGTGGGAGTCGGATGCATGGCGCAATACAGAGATGATGTCAACCGACGCCAAATGAATATGAAGTACAGACCAGTAACCTTTACGGAATGATGTGTTCCGGAGGCATACTCACGTCTTTGAATGAACTGAAAATGGCGCTGCACCGGCAAAGTGGCTTCATCGCGTCGCCCGAAACTGGCCACAACAATTACACACCGTAGACGTTTTTAACCAGTTAAAGAAGGGGCGCCTGTTGGAAAAGAGGAGTCTCGTGGATTCCAGCCTGTTTTTATTTTCAACAACAGCCACATATGAAGAAAGTTATCACTGTTCAAGCATGAAAACTCGTACGTAGGTGAAAACAAATTTCAACATGAACTCACAACGGAAGTATACTTGAAAGGAGTATGTTCGGAACGAATTGAGCGCAGTCAATCAATACCAAACCTACACCTTCACAACCTTTCCTGCTTGAGAATTACAACTCTCAAGAAAGTTTTGGATATTTGAGAAAAGGGTGCTTCGGAGTTTCTGGCCTATTTTGCAAAATATCTCAAAATAACCTGCTCCAGAACACCTTTTGCGAAGGTCCGAAATCCGACTTGATAATGTCTTTTCTTCGGAGGGGGAAGGGGTCCCACCAACACCCCCTTTCGGTGGAAAGGGTCGTACTTAGCAGAAATTTTACACAACGTGATGGTCTGCCTCCGGCGGACGTGAGGGACAACTCCAACTCCCAGGTAGTCGTGCACCTGCTTTTGAGCTAAATGAATCTATTTCTCACAAATTGATTTGTGTCCACGTTGTTTCTTGAACTGCCTACGTGCGGAAACTTATCTTTTTTTTAATCTTAAGTCAATTTTAGGAGCGATGTTCGTGGTTATTTCTATATTCGCAATGATGTCAATCTTTTACTATGAATACAATTACTACACACAAGAGAAACCCGACGTACAGACAACTGATGACGAGTTAGAACCAAAACACGGGCTTTTGGACGATATAACGCACAGATTGAGAGTAAGTTCCTCAGGTGTCATTTCAAGCACTAGAGGCTAAAGTCGTCATCCGGGCAGTTGATTATCCGGCCCAAGTGACGCGACGCGGCTGCAGCGCGTCACGATCGCTGCGATCAGCTGTTTCCACCCTAATTTAGCAATTTTCTCCCTAGTTTTCACTGTTTTTGGCTGTTTTTTTCAAGGTCATTTGCTTTATTGCCTATATGAAGTATATCGAGACGTGAATTCTTTTTTTTCTTGTAATGGAGTGTTTTTCGCGATTTTCTTAGGTGTTTGTTTAACTGTTTTGTTTAATCGTCTAATTGTTCGCAAAGTTAGAAAAACTCAATCATAATTTATCTTGTGAAGACAAGGAACAGTTAACCTTGAAAAAACAGCCAAAAACAGTGAAAAGTAGGAAAAATGACTAAACCAGGCCGGAAACGGCTGATCGCCGCACACAGTTCCTACGTACGCGGTCGCTGCTGCAGCCGCGTCTGCGGCCCCTTGACGACCGCCCTAATCAACTGCCCGGATGACGAGTGTAGTATGATGGCAGACCGAGTGGCCGCGCGTGGATGGTGGATTGCCACCTGCGCACTGTCCCTGCTCCCATTGTAAATGATCTGTTCCCCTTTACTGGGTCGCTTTTTAAATGGTGAAATGTAGTTGGATTAAACGTGCTACAATTGATGATCTGATTGCAGTCTTTCTCGATTGATCCTCATGACGGAGAATATGCATGGGCAGTAGAGGCGCGGCTAGACGACTATATTCCAGATGAAAGGTTCTAGTAACCCAGATTGTATATGTTGAGATTGAAAATAGATTTCTACCAATAATTATGTTGTGCTTGGGCACTTTGTATGTTGTTGGCGTTTAATAAACATTACTTCGTTGCTCGTATCTAAGATGATGCAAAAAACAAACAGTACTTCCGAAACAGCGGTGTGCAGGTCATCTTCTAAATCACCGTATCTTTATTGTTGCATTATTTTTTGTTTATCCTTGCTCAATTTCTCCGTTATGAAAGTGTTCGTATGAGCGGTATTTTTGTAATGAGTGAAATAGAATATGCCAAGTAGGCGTATTACTTAATAGCTGTAGGATCAGAAACAGTAGCAAACTCGCGTTACCATGAGCTCACAGAGTATTTGAGGCGAACCCATTTTGAGCACATTTGTTGCAAAAGCTCCTCAAAAAAAACTTAAACTGTTGTATTCAAGACTTTTTGGAAGGTCCTCGAGGTTGTTCTGAGCTCAGTAGCTTCTCTACTCTGGCCCGGAACACGACTCTTACTCCAGAAGTGCGAAAACAAGAAATAAAAGTCTCGCTCACATCAGGGTATAGTATATTGGGGAAAATGCCACTAAGAGCCGTAATTGCGCGGTGGGGAGGAGGTCGCATCCCACTCCGAGAGAAATTTCTCCGAACTGCGAGGGAAAACTTTCCGGTTGTAGCTCTTAGTTCTTAGTTCGTAGTCTTCTAGTAGCTCGTAGATCTTAGTCTTAACTCGTAGTCTTCTATTCGTAGATCCCGTCGTGCGAGAAGGTCATAGACACTCACGCAATCACACATATATGTATAACAGGGGCGCACAAAAGTCATTTTCTTTATGACTCGAAGCCGCTATAAGCTTAACACGGGTCATTGAATCTCATCAAACATTTTGACACCATATTAAGAGCATATCAAATTTATCATGACACTCCGCCACAGCCTTCTGGACGAGCGCCATCGAGAGATTCTGGCACGCGACCGCGATGTGGTGCCTGAGATCAGCGAGATAGTCGATTTCTCCGCCACCGCTAGACACCTCGCTTGAACTCCGCCCGAACCGGGTAATTGAGGAGGATTCAGGTCAGGTGACCTACTTAGATATTCCATCTTCTTTAGGTACTCAGCCCCTTCCATTCCAAGTAGGCGAGAGTTTCTCCAACGCCCTTCGATTCCATGTGGTGGCACTCAATGGCAGTAGCAGTACAAGGTCCAAGCATGGTAAGGGCGAACCAATGAAGGAGAATATTCTTCACGAGATTGCCCAATGTTAACGCCAGCGCTGCTACAGTCCGGGGTCACGACAAAAATTTGGTCTTTCATCGGTACGTCCGGCCTACCATCAACTCCACCTTGACGCGCATTGCGGCTGAAAAGCATTTGATGTCCTAGACCGTGGCGACGTCTCGATGTGGGGGTATTAGGATCGAGAGTATCTGGTCTCCAGAATAGCGTAGCTAATTCATGGGTGACTCCATACTAGAAGTTTCGCAGCTGTTTGGAGGTGACATGAATTCCAAAGGTCTTCTCCAGTCAGGCTGCGACTGGAGATGACTTCATATTTTGGTGTACATGATGGGCGAGAGCCAGCTCCTGCTTATAGAGGAACATCTTGGGTATCTTCCGCCCTGGTACTCGTATCCACGTCCTCTGTCTGGGCAGCGAAAACTTTGCTGATATGTGACTTCGGTGCCCCCCCCCCCTGTATATTCTTAAACTTACTAGGGAAGGTCGTCAGGTCGAAGTGGCAATTTGTAATGAGATGTAGATCACTAAACGTAGTTTTGAACGCTGATCTCGAATCTGCCTTTGAAATTTGCAGAACAATCTTCTGAACGGAGTTATGG